TGAGGGCGAAAGAAAAGGGGAGAAGGGTGGGGAGGGAAAAGGTAAAGAAAACTGAAGATGGTGGTAACTCGCCCTTAAAATCTGTTACTGGGTGTTAACGAGGAGGACCAATCAACACTGTACAATATGGTACAAAATATCTCTTACTTCCATAGTTAACCAGGGAGAACAAAGAGCTAACCATTCCATATTTTACATTTTTTTAAAAGGTGCAAAAATTATACAAACAACTTTCTACCTTGGGAAAATAATCCTAAATTTCCACAGTTCTGTGTAAAAAAAAAATGTTTAAGGGGGTTTGTTTTGGGCATTGTAGCCAAAAGGAAACAATCTAAGCACCCAACAGGAGGAGGTATTTTAAGTAAATTAAGCTACTTCTATTTGACACAATTTTGTGGCCATTAAAATTTTGTTTCTGAAGAGGTTAAACAGAGGAATATTTTACATTGTATTGCTAAGTGAAAAATTCAGGATATAAAATTATATACACACTTCAAATCTACTAATACTTGGTAACAATATTAACAAAATCTCAAAGTGGAAAAATCAGGACAGGACTATCCAGCCACAGAGAAGCACTTTTTAGATTTATGAATCACTGGCTAATTCCTTTGGTGAATTTCTGTCCTTCCTCTAAGTTTCTGGGTTAGCCAAGTATGTCCAGGATTGTCACATTTTTCTATTCATTTTCATTAAGAATTAATAATTTATAGGGAATTTCCTGGCAGTCCAGTGCTTAGGACTCTGCACATCCACTGCCGGGGTCCCAGGTTCAATCCCTGGTCGGGGAGCTAAGATCCCACAAGCTGTGCAGCGCAGCACAAAAATAAAAATAAAACAATAAAGTTATGACAGATATAACAAGGAATATGGGTTTTATATTTTATGTTTCATTATCTAGGTGCTTATTGTTACAAATCCACTGGAGTCTCATTTATACTGATATTCTTGGGGAGATGCTTAAGATTATTAGGAAGTTCTAGAATGATGGCATGCAGGTAACATCCCTTGCCAAATTCTTTATTATAGAGGGTGGGTCATATCAGGGCAAAGTTATAGATCATAAACTATATACCATTTCAATCTCCACAGGTAGTGACTCATAATGATTATTCTTGGGGAGATGCTTAAGAAACATTTTAGGAATATCAGAAAGATACTGTGCTTACATAACCCTTTGAATGGGGTCTTAGAATATTTCTTATACCAAATTCTGTTAGGGAAGATCAGTTATATTATGGCAAAACTGTAAACTATACTGAACATTTAAACTCTACAGAGATTCAGCTAGTCAAAATGAAAACTCAAAGTGAATGTACATTTTAAAGTCACAATACTTTTTCCTCATTTTAGAAGTGCCTCTTTAGGGATTTCTGGCTCCCACCAATGGAGACCCCTAACAAACCAAACCTCTTGTAGATAACAACTATAAACTCTGAGGGGAAAAAAAAGTCAGCAAGAAATAAATGGTATATATATTAAAAAGGAAGAAATAAAACTGTCTGTATTTGCATATGACATGATTATGTAGAAAATCTCAAAGAATCTACAAAAAAGACCTAGTAGAATAAGGGAGATTTCCAAGGACACAAGAGTATTCAACCCAGTATAGGCTGTACTGGTGACTTGCTTCCAAAGGAGTGTCAAAGGCGGAAAAAAGTAACTATAGTGAAGAAACCTGACAAACAAGCTTGGGCAGGTGATCAAAGTAAACATCACCAGTGATAAAGCATGTTAATAACAGGCACTGCTGATGTGATGTGATGAGGACATTTCACCTCTATGGTATTATATATTTAACTCCAGTTTAACCATGAGAAAAATAGCAGACAAGCCCAAATTGAGGGACATTCTACAAAACATCTGAAAAGCAGTCCTCAAAACTGTCAAGGATGAAAAACAGACTAAGAAACTGTCACAGACCAGAGGAGACATGACAAGTAAAAGTAATGTAGTATCCTCTGTGGGATCTGAGAAAAAAAGGCATTAGTGAAAAAACTGGCAAAATCTGTAGTTGAAAAACTAAATGTACCCACGTTGGGGGAAAAATGTACCACGGTAACTGTTATGGGCTGAATTGTACCCCCCCTCCAAATGTACATGTTTAAGTCCCAAACCCACTACCTCCAAATATCACTACTGTTTTGGAGATAGGACCTTTTAAAGAGGTGATCAAGTTACAAAAAGGCTGGAGAGAGTGGGCCCTAATCCAATCTGACTGGTGTCCTTAGGAGGAAATCTGGACAAACGAGCTTATTTCTTTTCAATGTTATGCTTCAAAAGATACCATTAAGAAAGTAAAAAGACAATCCAAGGGCTGGGGTATTTACAAGTCACACACCTGACAAGGGTCTTTTGCATCCAGAATCAAGAACTCTAACTTCTGTTATTAGTATTCTATAATAATGCAAACTATGATTCTATAATAAAAACACGAGTAACAGAATTTAAATATGGGCAAAAGATATGACTAGACATCTCACCGAAGAAAATATATAAATGACCAGTAAGCACATAAAAAGATGCTTAACATCATGAGTCATCAGGAAAATGCAAATTTAAACCACAATAAGGTACTACCTCACACAAGAATGGCTATACTAAAAAGACAGAAAAGTAAGTGTTGGTGAGGATGTGGAAAAATCATAGCCCTCATATATTACTGGTGGAAATGTAAAATGGTGCAGCCTTTGGAAAAGTCTGGCAGTTCCTCAAAATGTTAAACATACCATATGACCCAACAATTCCAATCCAGAGTAAATACCCAAGAAAAATGAAAACATATTCACACAAAAACTTGTTCATAAGTGTTCATAAATAGCAGCATTATTTATAATAGCCAAAAGGTAGAAACAACCCAAATGTCCAACTAATGAATGGATAAACAAACCATGGTATACAGTTGACCCTTGAACAACATATAGGTTAGTGGTGCTGACTTCCCTTTGGGGTTGAAAATTCATGTACTGTTATCTCTGCCTCAAAAACAAAGGAATTGATAAATTACTCACCCAAGGGCAGGAAGCTAAAACAGTTTGGATAGAATAAGGCTTCAAACCCTAGATCTTTTGATTCCACATATTATGAACACAATCTTTATCCTCATACTTAAAGATTAATAAAATGACAATACAGGTGCTATACTGAAAAAAACCCAAGTATAAGTGGACCTGAGCAGTTCAAACCCATGTTGTTCAAGGGTCAAACTGTATATTCAAACAATGGGATATTATTCAGCAATAAAAAGGAATCAAGTCCCGGTATGTGCTACAACATAAATGAACCTTGAAAACATGCTAAATAAAGGAAGTCAGTCACAAAAGGTCCCATACTGTATGATTCCATTTATATGAAATGTCCAGAATAGGCAAATCCACAGTATGAGACACAAATTAGATTTGTGGTTGCCAGAGAAATGATAAGGGGAGAGGGAGATGTAGAGTGACTGCTGATGGGTACAGTGTTACTTTTGGGGTAACTGAAATGTTCTAAAATTAGATTGTAGAGATAGTTGCGCAATTCTGTGAATAAACTAAAAATCACTGAATTGCACCATTTTGATGGGTGAATGTTACGGTATGAATTACCTCAATAAAGCAATTTTAAAACACAATAAGCAGCAAAGCTCTAATCTGGGAAAAGACCAATGTTTCAATAACAAGGTTTTCCAAACTACTTATCCAGAAAAACAAGGAAATTTTATATCTCAATTTCTTGGATACTCTCCCCAACTTCTATTAAACACACTGCCGTTTTAAATTAAAAACACTTTTTAAAGGACTGTTACATTGAGTTAAAGCAGGGGTTCTAACCCTCACTGAGGGTCAGAATCACCTTGCAGAACTTTAGAATTAACAATAAACAAGACCCTATGCCTTAAAGATTTCGATTCAAGTGGTCTTGGGAAAGATTTCGGCAATGTTACCTTTTTTTAATTTTTAATTAATTAATTTATTTTTGGCTGTGTTGGGTCTTCGTTTCTGTGCATGGGCTTTCTCTAGTTGCAGCAAGCGGGGGCCCCTCTTCATCGCAGTGTGCGGGCCTCTCACTGTCGCGGCCTCTCTTGTTGTGGAGCACATGCTCCAGATGCGCAGGCTCAGTAGTTGTGGCTCATGGGTCTAGTTGCTCTGTGGGATGTGGGATCTGCCCAGATCAGGGCTCGAACCCATGTCCCCTGCCGTGGCAGGCAGATTCTCAACCACTGCGCCACCAGGGAAGCCCAGCAATGTTACATTTTTAAAAGCTCCCTTATGGATTTAAAAATGCAGCCAGGATTGGGAATCACTGCTGTAATTCAACAGAATATTAAACTGTGTTTTAAAAATCTTCTTTTAGGGGCTTCCCTGGTGGCACAGTGGTTGAGAGTCTGCCTGCTGATGCAGGGGACACGGGTTCGTGCCCCGGTCCGGGAAGATCCCACATGCCACGGAGCGGCTGGGCCCGTGAGCCATGGCCTCTGAGCCTGCGTGTCCGGAGCCTGTGCTCCGCAACGGGAGAGGCCACAACAGTGAGAGGCCCGCGTACCGCAAAAAAAAAAAAAAAACAAAAATCTTCTTTTAGGTGAAGGCAGACCTTCTCTTAAGCAAAACAAAAGGTAGATATTTAAGAAAAATTTGTTTCTAATCATATAAACATAAATAAAAAAGCCACATAAAACACAAAGTTAGTCATAAAACCAATTATTTAATTGAAGCTATAAAAAAGAGGCAATATAACAGATAAAATAATTAGGAAAGACTATTTAGCACATTTTAAAAGATTTAAAATAGGAGGACACTTTACAAAAAGTTGTGTGGGAAAAATTCTTAAACTATAAGTAGAAATGTAACATTACAGAGCATGTTATAAAATACAATGACAGAAATATAAAAGGGATATGTATGCTCTAAGTCTGAAAACTATTAATAATGACCAGATATTTAGGTTTAAATTTACAGTTCCTGGGTATGAGGATCATATTACTATACACATCTTCCAAACCAATGGGAAGTACTTTCCAATTAACCATGAGTGGTATCATCTTCTACAAAGTCTTTGGCCATCTCTGCTGTGATCACATCAATATGACTAACCTGAAGAATAAATGTTAAAAACAAAATCTGTTAAATCTTAAAGAAATATATCAGTGTTCCCCTGTATAGGGTAATATTTTTAAAATACATAAATATTTTACATACCAAGTCAAATGACTCTAGAACACTGATAAAACCTTTATTTACAATGCTGTTTGTTCAATGCATGAGTTTAAAAATATTTGAACCATATTTCTGTTCAGTTTTTATTACTTTGCTATTTTAAAGAATCTTAAGGCTGAAAGCACCAGGAAGAGTTGTGTGGTCTAACCAAATATAAATGAACTTATGTAACTGTTTAAGACTGTGAATTAAATAAGCACTAAAGAGATAGATAGGAAGATAGTGTCTCTTAATGCCAATAAAAATAAAACCAATGCAATGAATGCCACAAAAAAAACTGATAACCTTCACAGGCATTTAAAGTTTTTTTCAGTAACTTTCTAAATTTTCTTTCATGACTTAAGTAACATAAAACGAGAATTCAACAGTATAATGGATTGAATACTACATGAACTTAATATAAAAAAAATTACCTTATTTCTGAACTTTACACCATAGAATTTGTCAGCTGACTCAAGCAATTCAGGCCTAAAAGTAGTTGTAATAAATTGAGCATGTACAGCAAGTTCCATAATCATATCTGTAAAAAGAAATAGTAATCTAATAAAACCCTTTTTTCAGTTGAACTGAAAATTTAAAAAGCAACTATCTTTTTACTCTTACCTAAAACTTAAAACTGCCTGCATGCATACATCTACAAAAAATATCAACCTGTTTCTTAAACTAGGGATAAATCTTTAACACAAATAACTTAGTTACAGAATATAAAGAAGCAACACCTTCTAACACAGCATTAGAAATAATGTCAGAGCAAAGTAAATTTTCTCACACAAAAAACCAAAAGCAACCTTTTCCTGTTACCCACACCCCCAACGTGTATACTGAATTTGTTTGCATAAACTTGCTAAAGATCACATATAGATTTAAACACATCAACATTGTTTATGACAGGGACTATTCAAGCATTGAGAAAAAGTGTTTAAAGGAGAGACGTTTGTATAAAAGTTTAACTGGAGGAGGATTTTCAATTATTACATCTATTTCTCACAGAACTAAACTTTGCAGTCTAATACTAGATTTTTGAAAACTTGTTCAAAGAGAAATTATTTTATTTACTGACTAATACCCTGTCCAGGCTCCCTGGATATCTCAGGCAACAAGAAATATACTATAAAAGAGGTAAGCTATCGGGGCTTCCCTGGTGGCACAGTGGTTAAGAATACGCCTGCCAATGCAGGGGACATGGGTTCGAGCCCTGGTCTGGGAAGATCCTACATGCCACGGAGCAACTAAGCCCGCGAGCCACAACTACTGCTGCCTGTGAGCCGCAACTACTGCTGCCCACGTGCCACAACTACTGAAGCCTGCGGGCCTAGAGCTCATGCTCCGCAACAAAGCCACCTCAATGAGAAGCCCACGTACCACAACGAAGAGTAGCCCCCGCTTGCCACAACTAAAGAAAGCCTGAGCGCAGCAACAAAGACCCAATGCAGCCAAAAATAAATAAATAAATTTAAAAAAAAAGAAAGGGAATTTAGTGGAGTGGGGATGAAGGGGAAAAAAAATTAAAAAAAAAAAAAAAAGAGGTAAGCTATCATTTCTAGCAAGTTACTATGAAACTATGAAACCAAAACTGTACCTGACACAGCCTTTCTGTGCTGAGCATCCAGAGCCTGGTCAATCTCATCAAACAAGTAAAAAGGAGCTGGATCACATTTCTGAATGGCAAAAATCAGAGCAAGAGCTACCAAGGATTTCTGTCCACCTGAAAGCTGTTGCATTTCTCTCATTTCACCTTGTTTTCCTGTAAATGACACCTAAGAAAATATTTAATGAGTTAGTATCTCAAAGGAGTAAAAATGCACCAATTTAGATTTGCAAAATAGTCTACAAATTCTACTATGATAATGCTCTGGGGAAAATTGAATGTAAAGGTATTTTACCCTAATTCCAACTCCAGTGAACTGGTCAACTGATGGAACACTGCTTTGTGACCCAGAGCCCCTCTCACTTTCACCACTCCCTTCTCCTTCATCCTGAGACTGACTGCCTTCCACATCTCCTTTCTTCATCACCAAAGTAGCTTTGCCACCAGGTACCAACTTTTGGAATACTTCACTGAAGTTTTTGGATACCTTAAAATAAACAGATAGATAGATAGATAGATAGGGTGTCAATTGGAATATGTATTTTTTAAAAAAAAGATAAAAATTATTTAAAAGCAATCAAAAATAGTTTTATTTTTTTAATCTTAAGAATAAGAATAACAGATTGGATCCCCTTTAAGAGCTGTATAAAACATTCCAGTTACTATATTTGCAACCTATATACTGGATTTGTTTGCATGTTTCAGATCCAATTATCAGTGGAAAAAAAGTTTTAAAATCTTTACAAATTGAATAGACTGAATAATACCTGAAGATTTTAGCTTGTGTATTTACTACAAATAGAAACATACCTGTTTGAAAGTTAACTGAATAGCTTCATATTTTCGAAGTTCAAGTACATTCATCAGTTCCATGATTGATTTGTACCCCCTATCCAATTCTTCTTGCCGCTTTATTAACTTTTCTTTCTGCTCAGAGAAATTTACAAACTGATCTAAAGCTTTTTTGTTAACATGGCTGTACTTCTTCAATTCTGTGTTGCACTGTTCAAGTTTTCGAAACAACTGTAAAGAGGAAAAAAATGTATAAATAAATCCACATACAGGGAAATTTGCAATGAGATTTCAAATTTAAAACCAATTAGATTTACCTGTTTGAGGCTCAGTGTTTGGTATTTTTCAAATGCTTCCTGGGGAAGTGATCCAAGTTCTCGAATTTTCTTCATACACTCTTCTTTCTTCTTCAGTAGCATGCCTTGTCGATTTGTCATCTTTTCTAGTTCTTTAGTGTCATGATTTATAGCATCCATGTGTTCTTTTTCCATATTTTTCCAGCGCTCCATACTTTTCTGCAACTCCTTAATTCCAGCTTCTGTTTTATCAATGGAATTGTCCAAATCTAAAAGGGGGGGAAAACCAAATTAGGCCATAACACCTATTTTATTATTTTTTTGACCAAGCTGCGTGGCTTGAGGAATCTTAGTTCCACGACCAGGGATTGAACCCAGGCCCTCAGCAGTGAAAGCATAGAGTCCTAACCACTGGACCGCCAGGGATTTCCCCAAAACACCTGTTTTAAAGCCAGAGTGTTAGCTGACCAAAGATTTTCAAGGTCAAATCTATCAAAATAAATAGGCTTAAATTTTACTGTGAAAACTTATGAAAAACTTCAGAACAAAATTGGGAGTGTACATGAGTCAAGGTATACAGTTTACATTTAATGTTTATAAAAACGTAAAATAATTTTCTTCTCAGCAACTAGTGATAAGAAACTTGATTCAGCTATTTCATACTTTTGTCAGTGAAACTAGTAATGTTATGGTCTCTCATAAAATTGTCACAAACATTTCAACAAAACAAAGGTTACTATTTATAATCAACACCCTAAACTCTGTTCACTATAAACTGTTTATGATGGAAAACACATAAAACTATTGGTACATGCTTTTGCCTATTTGGATATTTCATTTTGTAGTAAACAATCCTATAAAACCAATAAGCTAAATTTAACTAAATACCAAAAATATTTTTATTAAATAAAAATTCACCTTCTGATCGTGCCATGGTATCTTTTACTCTTTTATTGATGGCTTCAAGTTCTGAGGTTGTAGCAGTGAGAACAGTACCCCCTTCTGTCTCTCTCAGTTCATTGAGTTCCTATAACACAAAAGGAACTTAAGAGCATTAAACCACAAAAATATGAATTTTGTTAGTTTCAAAATGTTATAACTGCCGTTTATATAGCTGTTGATATGTCTGAATAAACACTTAAGAAAACCAAAAAACATTTCAAATAATTGTAAATAATATATCCATTAAAGGGGAAAAAATTACTAGAAAACTTCTTAACATCTGACTACTGATGAGAAAATATTCATAACTAATATTTACTACCTAGAATGTGCCAGATAATCATACAAAATGGGTACTACTGCTATGCTTATTTTACACAAGAGGAAACTGGAGCTTAGAAGTATTAAATGACTTGCCCAGTAGTGTACACTAGGTGGCAGTGCTAGAACTCCAAGCCAGGGCAGGTGGTCAGACTGCTAGGCTTTCTGTCCCCAGAGCCCATACTCTAAATCAGAGTCTCTCATATAAGCATTATCAAAAGGTTATGCTTGTCAAGGAACCCTAGAAAAAGAACAAACCTGTTCTACTTGGTCCAAGCGCTTTCTTAAATTCTCGTTGAGGTAAGTCTCTACTCGAGTAATAATACCTTCTAACTTAATTCTTTCATTTAGCAACTGTCTGTTTTCCTAGAAGAAAAAACAAAATTCTTTGTCTACACAGCCATGCACATTTCACATACAGGAATGCTATCAATCTGTTGTTTTCTCCATTATTTTTGTTCAAATGAGCTGAAATAGTTTTACACCTTTCCAAAAAGCCCTATATTAAAAAAAAATTAAAAAGCCCTATATTTTCTTCATTTTCCCTCTTATCTATTCAGAATGCTGTTTCTGTGCCTGGTTCTTTTTATAAGGCATGCTACCAAAAATATTTTTCTTTTCCTGTTTTTCGTTTTTTGAACTTAGTATTAATTGCTTACATCTCTGTATTTAAAAATCAAATGTTGTTAAAATGTTTAATCAAAACAATATTATTAAATATGTAAAGGTGGTCAGGTCAATAAATACAGCAAAGCTAACAAGCTCCATCTTACCAATAACAAATGGGCATTAAGTAAGATGAAAGAAAATAAAGATTTCTTACACAATCCTAACATATGGTTTGGAAAAACTTATTAAAACCTCATTTACTTTAATAGATATTAGAAGTCTAATAAGTCTTATATTTTCTCAATAATCTCTTTCACATTCCTTTATTAGCCAGAAACACTTTTCACAACAGTCAATTGTCAACAAGAATTTTTTTCCTGTCAACTCTACTTGCCTGCTGAAGTTGACGAATTTCATCATTCAGTGCATCTACTCTCTTCTGATCTTCCAGACTAAGTTGAGAAAGCAAATCAGTTCCAAGTTCTGCTTTCAGTGATTCTCTGGTGGACTCCATAGCATGCAAACTTGCCTCCAAACTTTGTAAGCTACGTTGCTATATGACAGATTATCCATTTATTAATAAACGTACTAGTCAGTGTATCACTTATAATAGTGAAAAATTGACAACTATCTATATTTGATATTAAAGTGAGCTAAGTAATCATATTAACGCAATTAAATATTAGATATCCATTATATTTGATAATTAGAACTATGTAGCAACAAGAAAAATATTTATGATGCAGTATTTGCAGGATGTGTGTAACACATCATATTCCATGGTCAAACTATAAAAAGAAGTTGCTAGAATGTTAAGGTGGTATAATTGTGGGTATATATTCTAAACTTTGTTGTTTTAGTACTATTGATGTACAAAATTAATAGTTTTTTGTCAAAACTGCTTCATGTTTATGACACCAATGTGTATTATCATTTGTAATAGCAGTAATAGTTTACTTTCTACTCATTTTAGCACAATCTGGACAGAATGCAATCAAATAAATCCATAAATAGTACTTTATAGACAAAAATGGATACTGGCTGACTACTATCAGGCAGTACTATTATGCCGCAGCTCAAAATGCCTATTTGTTTAATGAAGTTGGAAAGTCTGAATGAGGCCTACAAAAGGAGACTCTGGGTACTCATGGGTAAAAGTGTGATAAAGATACATGTAGATTCCCAAAAGTATGGGCCTAAATGAAAATGGAACAGAATGTATAAGTTATACAACCTATATAATATATGGTCCACTCCAAATCTTTATAATTAAAACAAATCTATAAAAAAAAAGCATACTTAACGAACCTTGGGCATAAAGGTTTTCTCTGACTGCTGCCTCTTCTCTTTTAACATCTTCATTTCTGATAATATGCTATCTCGAGATGCTTTAAATTTCCTTTGCTGAGTCTCTATCTGCTGCATTTGGTTCATCAGCTGATCAATTTCATTATTAATCCATATACAAGGCTAAGGAAAATTCTCTTTGGTGCCTGTTAACAAAACATTGTGTATCCCCCCTTCCTTTTCCTTATCTGTAAATAAAACTATTTCCACAAATTTATGGACCATAACAACGCTGAATTAAATACTACACTGTGTTCAGTCATAAAAGAAGCTTAAAACATTTTATTCCACTTCTCTCTCAAAATAACACACATACTGTTTTACTAATAGCTATACAAAAAAATAATAAATACAATCCTGGGAAGCCCTAAAGGAAGCTAAATGAAATATAATACATATATATTTTTTCATTCAACAAATATTTACTATATAATCTATTATGCTTAAAGCACTATATAAGGGAGTCAGATATGAAGAGGCCTTGCCCGATGTAGAAGAATAACTCCATCTAGCTGGATTATCAAATACAGGAAAGTAGTTGGTGCCTACTGTCAACCTCTTTTTTATTAGTATTTCCCCATGCTTCGTGCTCACATCTTGCCAAATTTGGGCAGTTCTCAAAAGTATGCTATGCAGACCCCTGCAAAGTTAAAACTAAGATGTTTGTTTACCTTTTTCTTTGTGCTTTTGCTTGCAACTGATGACAGAAAAGCTATAAACTCACATTTTAAAAAATGCCAGTTCCAATAAAGAATATCCTAATGAAGCAGTAAAAATAATTATTTTTGCTGCTTGAGTACCTGTATTTAATATTGTGTGACATAATGCAAAGTACACATAAAACACTTCTACCTTATACCATGGTTGTTTTAAGAAGACGCACGTGCACAAGTGTCTCACAGTTGTGAATCGAACTAGTCACTCTTCATAGAACACCATTTTTATTTGAAAGAACTAAGAGAACTATGGTTACTAAGACTTGAATTTGGATGGACATTTCCTCCACTAATACTAAATCTGAGCCTCAAGATAATAACCTCTAATGGACATTTTTCAACCTTTATATACTTCTACGTAGTATGTGGCATTCCT